ACAGTCACTGCATGTGGTATTGAACAGTGCTCTAATAAACCCTCAGCCTGCTGTGCCTAAGGACTGTTCTGCGCAAATCCAGTTTCTCATTCTGTGCACTCGGAAGATAAAAGGTGGTGGCAGCGCTGATTTTTTTAATACATTACCATAAAAGTGACTCTAAATTTAGGAAATTCACATGCTCAATGTGGCAATCTGTCTGAAGAAAAACTATTGTGTTTGTTTGGTTTGTCCTGAGTAGATCTCGGCACAAGTCACCGACTTTTGGTCTGACTGTGCTCGACCCAGAAACGCAGATATGGATATGGGCGATCGTGGCTCAAAGAGCTGGCAGTTCGAGCCCCGCCTCGGACAGTCTTGGCCGTGGTGTCCTTGGGCAAGACACTTCACCTACCGCCTACTGGTGATGGCCAGAGGGGCCGATGGTGCGATATGGCAGCCTCGCTTCTGTCAGTCTGCCCCAGGGTGGCTGTGGCTACAACTGTAGCCTCCACCAGTGTGTGAATGTGAGAGTGAATGAATAGTGGCACTGTAAAGCGCTTTGAGGGCCCCAAAAAGTGCTATATAAATGCAATCCATTATTATATATTTTATATATCTTTTTACCTGCACACAAAAGCATTTTTTCACTCACACAAAACAGTCATTAGATCCTCCATAACCTGTTTTTTCCACAACATCAGTTTGCAGAATCATGTTTTTAAAATCCAACATTTTTAATCAATTACTGAACCAAGTGGAAAACAATCTAAAAGTACTCAGAGTTCCTCATTTGAATCAGGTGAATCAGAAACCCCGCAGCTTCCCATGCTGCTGCCGCTGCTGCTGTGGAAAAGAGAGAGATGCAACGAAAGTGTGCAAATCCGAGAGAGCGCCAGAGTTGTGTGTGAAAGAAAATAGATGGGGGTGTGCAGACTGTGAAAGGAAATTAGGGATTATTTACAACATTTGTGTGAAGGCAAAGAAAAGACAAGGAGAGGCAGAGACAAACACGGTGAGAGACACACACACAGTGCACAGTGTAATCACGCTGACACATTAAAGGTGATAAGTGTGTGTGAAGTACAGATGAGCGAGAACAGGAGGAGTGGGGGGGACACCTGAGCAGAAACAGGAAGTGATCGTGTGAAATAACTCAGAAATGCTGATAAGTGTGTGTGAATTACAGAGCAAGGGAGCAGAACACACACGCAGGAATGCACACAGACACACACGCTCTTGAATGTTGATGCAGGCTGCGTTGCCCGCAGGGCTGCGATCGCTGTTTGCATAATGCGTCACTCTCAGCCGTCATCGCTGTGATCTGCTCGCTAGTTTAGCTCCAGTGTGAGGCTGATTTCTTTCCCCCCAGACTCTGGATCCACCACGTCAGCGCTGATGTACAGATGAGAAGCTTTGATCAGCGCGACGTTTGTCACTTTGACTTAAGGTTTGCTGAGCGCGTTTATTCTTTTTAGCGACACAGAGAAGAAGAGTTACCGGTAAAAAAACCCTCGTGACTTTTGCACTTTGACCATCAAATAGCCGCATTAAAAAAAACGAGGCCCCCGTCCCCCAACTTTGCATACTGGTTTCAAATGTTTCCAAGTCAATAAAATTATGGTCATTTATATGCACAAAGATAAAATAATATACATTTTTAAGCCATGTCTGAAAAAGGTATAAAGATTGAGCCAAACACTGTAATTAATTATGACTGCAACTCCTACAGAAAGGTGTTTTGTGCTTTATTTTGCTCCAATTTTTAGGTGTTTATTGTTCCTGGACTATGATGGGATTTACTCCCCCAGAAGAAAATGGACTCCTAATGAGCAGGAAACATTTTCCAGTGATTCCAAAGCAGGGATTGACCAGTGAAAGTAATTCTGACGGCCTGCGATTCATAGACTGCATAGAAAAGATGGATGCAGCCACCATGACATCGTGCCACTGGCTGCTACATCCCTCCTTTGAAGCCACAAATTTGCCATTTGGGCTGACATCTTATGTTATTAAAACTACATGTGCGAGATGAGGACGGGTGGCTTTAATCTGATTGAGAGACACTACACGCTCTTATAATAGCGATTTGTCAAGCATAAGCTAGGCCTGCCCTAAAGTGTACCCTGCTTTATCCTCGTTTTGGACTAATGAAAATCATAAAGTACATGTTGAACATCATGTTGTATCATGATAAAGTCTAAAACCTGAGACTGAGACCATCAACTCACCAGGAAAGTAATCACTGAGCTCATAAATCAAGTGAGACTTTATGCACCTGATACGATTTAAGAAACGATTGTAGTTCAGGTTAAAAAACAAAACAAACACCTTTTATAATAATAACCCCATGACAGCAACCTCCTCACTGCTTTATCAAAGCTGCCTCCTCCCTTACTTGGGTGAATGATGAAAGAGGCCACACAAAGCACATCTAGTAGTAAGAAAGTGTCAGAGAGAAGTTGTGTGCTACAGAAGAGAAAATAAAAAGTGACTCTTGACTTTCAAACATGTGAGCCTGCTCTGCTGTCTGTGAGTGTCCTGTGTTAAAGGTTTCGGTTAATAATTTGCTCTGCTGACAATTTAAACCAGATACAACCAGAAGAAATCTAAAAATCCCCGAAGATTATACTAGAAATGGCCACCTGCTGTGGTCTTCTACAGTTCTTAGCTGTGAGGAGTTAATATTACAACCAAGGCTGAGTTGAGCACATCTTCAAATAAACACTGGTAAGTAAGAAGCCATCTATGTCCCCTGTGAACGAACATCTTTGAACAGAGGCGGTGGTTTACAACACCAACTGTCTGCCGTCTATTATCCAGTTTTGAGATACCCACTCACATCCTGGGACATTTGACCTCAGGAAATCACATGATAGTGTGGGGCTTGGTCTTACAATGGGTTCACCAGAAACGTTGGCTGCTTGTGACCCACACCCATTTTCACACCTTGGCTCATATGATTAGGTAGAGGATCCATAGTGGGTCCATGACCCTCTTGGTGGGACACTCCCATAGGGCTCAAAATCTCCATTAATTGCGCTTAGAACCGAAGAAGCTTCTCAGATGAGAGGTGAAACATCTTCAAGGAAACTAAAAGAAATGCAGATGTTTTTTTCTCTCCAAGCTCCTTAGACTGGAAATAACATGTTCAGATTTATTTGACTTGAAAGTCTTGGTTAAAATGTAATTTGTAAAAAACGTTTTTGTTAATTCAGAGGGTCAGGAACTCCAGTCAGTTTCACTTCAGGCCACTGCAGTATTTCTTTAAAAGACCCACTCTCTTTGCCCAACAAGACAGACACCCTAAAAACAAACTTAGCTAAGGTCACAGTTTGACTTTTCAGCAGAAATAAAATCATTAGCAGCGTCCTGGGTCAAACTTTACTTGCATGATAATCTGTGGTTGAATACATGGATATCAAACATACCTCTCTTTTTACCTTTAATAAAAGCAGACAAGTTTAGAGTGGGAGCTGTTGTTTTAGCATGGTCCTCACGGCCCTATCATTGTACCGAGGACTTTACTGTAATGGAATTGATCGCGAATCAATACAGCTATTATCTAAAACAAACCACTGCCTTGATCAATATTCAGACCACTGACTCATCTTGGCTTTCACTCTGTCTCACTCAGCACTGAGACTCTGGATCTCTGCTGAGCCTGTGAAAAGCTGCTGTATGAACAGTAACTCAAACTTGGCCTCTCCGTGAGCAAAACCTTGACTTGCCTCCACATTTACCGACCTCACATGCAAAGAGAACACGGTATTAATATTCCCCAAGTTCACTGAGCCTGAGTTTCTATTCGACACCAAAAAAATCATTTCCATATCATTATCTGGTGCAACGATGCACAAGATGAAGGTCTGCGCGAATAAGACTTTGAATTGAGATCAATGTAGTACTTCTACACATTTGATGTGCGCAATAAAATAGTCACACATACATCTAGTGCAACTTAAATGGATGTGTACATCACTGTAACCTGATAGTTTCACAGTTCATTTTTATCAAACACTGAAGAGCAGGTTTAAATAAAGGTTTGTTTACAAAAAAATGACTAAAGAAATATCATTTATATTCAACTTAACACAGACAGGCAGGGCAATGGGTTTGTTTCTTTGCTTTAATTAAAAAAAAGGAAAAGTAAACCGGGTCTAGAAATGTACGGCCATCGATGGAATTACAGAACGCTACAAAATACAGTAGGTACTTATGTTTTAATCTAAATTTCAAATAAGTTTCATTTTATTTATAAAACAATGCATTTGTTTTCAATTCTGACAGAGAAAATATCAGCTGGAATCAGATTTTTAACTCCCCGGGGTCAATCACATGACCGATTTAAGACGACACAGCAACAAGATGCAGCGACCCATTTCAACTTGGGTCGAAAGTGCGGACTTCAAACTATATACCAGTTTAGGCCTGTGGTGTACTTTGTTGTTTGCAAAACTTGTGTATAATTTTTAAAAAATTTACCATTTCTATTTGCATTTCAAGTTATGAAGATGATTTGTTAAACATGTTTGTTGTTTTTACAGTAAAAAAATTACTTTTTCTACTCAGATTTTATGTTTTTTGTATATCAAAGGGTTAAAACACTGGAAACTGGTCTTAAAAATCCCATACTGGTCAGACTCTAGTAAATACCATCAGCTTTCTGACATGCCATGTTCACCATCTTAGTTTGCAGTGCTAGCATACTAACATTTGATTTAATTAGCATTAAAGACAATTATCAAATGACAATAGATCACCAAATTTAATTCAGAACATCAAACTTTAAATTCCTGGTATTGTTAGCATGACTAAAACAAGAAAATGTGACAAGAAAATTATGGAAAGGCGGGAAAATTTAAAGCGCACTTAAAAGGAAAAAACAAAAAACAAAACAGTTTTGCAAAACCAAAAACCAGTATTTATACCAAACTGGTGCAGTTTCAACCCTTTTTCACTTCCTACCAGACTCTACACGTATTCAAGTACATGCAGATATAGTTGGAAATGGTACTCACGTTGAGAAGGCGTTGTTCTGCCTCTCACAGCGGATGCCCTTGCAGTTGTTGGGTTCCTCTGATGCCTTTGTTTCATAGTAGAAATACAGCTGGTTCAAACCATTAGCAAATGCTAACAGGACCTACACATAATGAAAAACACAAGACAAAACACATCAGCGCTGCACTTAAACACCTGATCTAACACATACTCTTAGCAACCACGACACTCCACCCAATGATTTTGCTCCGTCACCTCGAGACTCCACACATTAACCACCATATATAATGAAGTATAATACTGATTTCTCAATATCTGAAAGAAAAAACCCTCAATACTTTTTCATTTTGAAGTGAAGCTCTGCAAATATAACATTTCACTTTTATTACAGGGATTGACCTTTAGTGCCTCCAGGCCATTTTAAAACGCAGCTTTTATCTCAAACAGGAGAGAGCTAACATGAGTAGTGTTACATAAAGCTGCTACTGTGTGAACATGAAGTATTATGGCGTAGGTGCCCGGGGGTTGCTGGGATTGGTTTTAAGACTGTCAGGAGCAAAGCAATTCACACGTGGATTGTGTTGTACGTTAGGAGTTCCTTTGGGGAGGAATTAATGAGTTTCAGATGTAATGAAATGGGCTTGTAATGTCCTTCTACCGCCAATCAAGGATGCAGCATGCTGAGAAATTTGCTTGCTTTCATCATCATCAAAGATGCAGACAGTACTGGATAAAATGGAAACTTCAAAGCTGCTTAACAAGAAACAAAAGAGGGGTGGCCTGAATTCAATTCCTACTGATAACCCGATTGTTGGATGTCTTCCTATCGTTAGGAACGTGTAATAGGCTTGACAATGTTCAAGGTAAACCTGGATGTTTAGCACATGTAAAACGCAAGTAAGACATCATACTGCCTGTGTAGAAAGCCGGATTGACTGAAATGTTGCATGTCTGTTTCATCAGATGTGTGTGTGCCTGTGTAGACACAGAACCACTTAAACATTCAGACCACACACGCAAGTATCATATTTATATCACAGGAGAAGGGGGAGCAATACAAGCACCACACCAAGGTTATTTCCCTCCACCCGAGACTGAAGAGCATTGATCTTGGCAGGAAGCTACAGTACAGGGAGTGCAGAATTATTAGGCAAATGAGTATTTTGTCCACATCATCCTCTTCATGCACGTTGTCTTACTCCAAGCTGTATAGGCTCGAAAGCCTACTACCAATTAAGCATATTAGGTGATGTGCATCTCTGTAATGAGAAGGGGTGTGGTCTAATGACATCAACACCCTATATCAGGTGTGCATAATTATTAGGCAACGTCCTTTCCTTTGGCAAAATGGGTCAAAAGAAGGACTTGACAGGCTCAGAAAAGTCAAAAATAGTGAGATATCTTGCAGAGGGATGCAGCAGTCTCAAAATTGCAAAGCTTCTGAAGCGTGATCATCGAACAATCAAGCGTTTCATTCAAAATAGTCAACAGGGTCGCAAGAAGCGTGTGGAAAAACCAAGGCGCAAAATAACTGCCCATGAACTGAGAAAAGTCAAGCGTGCAGCTGCCAAGATGCCACTTGCCACCAGTTTGGCCATATTTCAGAGCTGCAACATCACTGGAGTGCCCAAAAGCACAAGGTGTGCAATACTCAGAGACATGGCCAAGGTAAGAAAGGCTGAAAGACGACCACCACTGAACAAGACACACAAGCTGAAACGTCAAGACTGGGCCAAGAAATATCTCAAGACTGGTTTTTCTAAGGTTTTATGGACTGATGAAATGAGAGTGAGTCTTGATGGGCCAGATGGATGGGCCCGTGGCTGGATTGGTAAAGGGCAGAGAGCTCCAGTCCGACTCAGACGCCAGCAAGGTGGAGGTGGAGTACTGGTTTGGGCTGGTATCATCAAAGATGAGCTTGTGGGGCCTTTTCGGGTTGAGGATGGAGTCAAGCTCAACTCCCAGTCCTACTGCCAGTTTCTGGAAGACACCTTCTTCAAGCAGTGGTACAGGAAGAAGTCTGCATCCTTCAAGAAAAACATGATTTTCATGCAGGACAATGCTCCATCACACGCGTCCAAGTACTCCACAGCGTGGCTGGCAAGAAAGGGTATAAAAGAAGAAAAACTAATGACATGGCCTCCTTGTTCACCTGATCTGAACCCCATTGAGAACCTGTGGTCCATCATCAAATGTGAGATTTACAAGGAGGGAAAACAGTACACCTCTCTGAACAGTGTCTGGGAGGCTGTGGTTGCTGCTGCACGCAATGTTGATGGTGAACAGATCAAAACACTGACAGAATCCATGGATGGCAGGCTTTTGAGTGTCCTTGCAAAGAAAGGTGGCTATATTGGTCGCTGATTTGTTTTTGTTTTGTTTTTGAATGTCAGAAATGTATATTTGTGAATGTGGAGATGTTATATTGGTTTCACTGGTAAAAATAAATAATTGAAATGGGTATATATTTGTTTTTTGTTAAGTTGCCTAATAATTATGCACAGTAATAGTCACCTGCACACACAGATATCCCCCTAAAATAGCTAAAACTAAAAACAAACTAAAAACTACTTCCAAAAACATTCAGCTTTGATATTAATGAGTTTTTTGGGTTCATTGAGAACATGGTTGTTGTTCAATAATAAAATTATTCCTCAAAAATACAACTTGCCTAATAATTCTGCACTCCCTGTAGTGAGGTCAGCAACACATAGTGATGTGGTGGTGCAGAGACTGTTCTGCTAATCAAGCTAACCGTGCCATAAAAGAAAAAGAAATTAAATCTGCCTTCGAGAGAAGAAGGCTGAAGGGTTCAAAATTCACTGATGAATTCAAAGAGCCTGGTTCAAGAATTTTCAGCTACCTGCTAGCTGCAGCTTTGTCCTTATACCATACTCTGCATGGTAGTAAGGGTGGGAAGGTGTGCTGTAGAACTGACAGATGGGTTCAAGGTGGGGGTAAGATTATATCAGACATCAACTCTGAGCCATTCTTGTTTGCAGTGGTGATGGAGAGGCTGACAGATGAGGTCGGGAAAGAGATTCTGTGGACTCTGGTTTTTACACACGACACTCTGATCTGTAGTGAAAGTAGGGAGCAGATGGAAAAGTGGCTGGAGAGGTGGAGGTATGTGTTGGAGACACGAGGAATGAAAGGCAGTAAGCAAGACAGAAATCATGTGTGTGAATTAGAAGAAAACAGATGCAAAAGTTGACGTGTAGAGTGAGTGAAGGTAGAGGAGATTAAATACCACTCAAAGCAGCAGCCTTTTAGATAAAATTGAAGTGAATGCTAATGTGGGTTCTTAACTTCAAAATGAACTCACTAATACAATTAGAATTCAAAAGACAAAGGCTGTGCATCCATCTATCCGTATTCTGTTTATGCAGTTCAGGGTAACTGGGGGACTGGAGCCCATCTCAGAGGTCCGGACGGGGTCCATCCTGCACAGAATGGTGGGCGATCGTGGCTCAAAGAGTTGGCAGTTTGACCTTCTTTCCTCCTTTATGTTGACTTACTTCTGATTGGCTGCCACTCATAAACCGAACATTTGAACAGAAGGTAGGTGGGGCTAATATGCTCATAGTCAGGGATGTGTGCCTGAGGGTGCATATTAGGGAGATCCCCTTTCAATACATAGCATTTATAGCAGCCTGAATCCTGACCTTTGGCTTACAAAGACTTTTGAATGCATTTAATCTGAGCATCCACCACTCAAACAGTGCATGTAATAGAAACTCAGTACTGTTGCTGCTGCAGTAACTTTAATATTCAATATTTTTTCCTTCATTGTGTGGAGCTGGAAAAGAGAACATGATGTGTCCTTGTAGCAGGGAGTGTCCTGCTACAGAGTGAGTCAGATGTTTTCTAAGTGAACATAATTACATTCTTCTCCTCTAGAAAATAGAAAAAAATATTATATTGCTATGAATTATATAAGCTGCAACCAGTACTAAAATATAAGATGATTAAGTGATGGTACAGTTTATTAGATCACTGGCTCTCTCAGTCTGCATGTCACACTGTCCTTGGAAAAGATGCTCGAGCCCATGGTACTTGGAATGTATCAGCATGCAAATGTATGACATAGATAAAATGCTGTTTTGTTGTACTATAGGTTTCTGTGTGCTCACTAGAATCAACACTTCACTGCTCTCTGGTCAAGGCCCTGCTTATTTAAAATGATAAAAACCCCAAGCTTGAGCCTTCTTTTCTTAGCAGACACACACCAAACTTGTCATGTATTGCTAAGATCTTAGCAAAGGCTGTGGATAAGGAGCTTATAGCGGTTTTAGATAAAAACTGTATTCTTGATAAATTTAAATCTGACTTTCGCAGCGCTCATTCTTCTGAAACAGCTCTTTATACAGTGTCCATGCACAGTGATGCAGGAGGATGTTCTGTTTTGCTGATGTTGGACTTTACCTCTGCTTTTGATACTGTTGAACATCACATGTTGTACAATAGGGTAACAATAATAGGGTAATAAATCACTGGGTGGGTGCATCGGGATCTGTGTTGAAGTGGTTTGCATCATAGCTGCCTGAACAACGCTTTTCTGTGGCAGTTTCTCATACAGATCCTTGTTTTCTTCTCTTAGCGACAGTGTGCCACAAGCTTCTGTTTTTGAGCCCTTATTGTTTGTATTACACCTGCTCCCTCTTCAGCACATTTTGAGCATCTTTAAATGCATTTGTTACCGCTGCTATTCAGCTAACATTCAGTTATGTATCTCTTTTACGCCTCAAGATGTCTCTAAGCTGTAGATCCTGAATAGGATCTATTAAAAGTTAGGTGGCTGACAACCATCTCCAACATAATGAAGGAAAAACTTATTTCTTTGTGTGTCCCTGATGTATTTGTGATTAAGATAAGCTCTTGGACCCCTTGTGACAATTGCTAAATCCTCAATGGGGATCCATGGTTCAACTTTATACTTGTTTTTAACACTTAAGTGTCACATTGTGTTCCATTTGTGTGGAGATTATTATAAATGCATTTATAATTGGTGTACTGTAATTCAATGTCTGCTTGTCTAAGCAAAAACTAGTTGAAATCTCTGCAGGTTGACGTTGACCTTTCACCTCTATATGCCCCAAATAGGTCCCTGAGGTCATGTGATCAGGACCTCGTATGAGTACATCATTTGTGGCTAAAAACTAAAGGAGAGAGCTTTTCTAAAAGTGGCCCCCAGACTGCGAAACTCTCCACCTCTGAGCTTGACATCTCTAGATTCAGATCAATTAAAAAAAAGAACCCCCCCCCCCCCCATTTAAATTTGCATTTAATTAAGGTTTTTTTTAATGCATAACAAAAGTAATTTTGCATAAATGTGCTACAGAGGACGGTTATTATTGTCAGGTTTATATTGTTCATTGTCACTTATGCTTAGAAGTATATAATCATTTGTAGATTGAAAGAATGTCTCATCCTAGGAGGTCTGTAACAACTCTGTGTAGCATGAAGAGGGGGGTGCGTTCACTCCTCTACAGAGTGTTCTGGCATAGATCACACACCTCTTGGGATCATGAGCAAGGTTTTATCTTTTCTTGCTGATATATGGTAAAGCAAACACATCTATATCTGTTTTACTCTAAGTGCCTTTTGTTTAGATGAACTGCTGGACTTCCAGACCAGCAGGTTTAGGGAAGTCGTTTATGGGGTCACACTCTGACCCCCCCACACACACACACACACTTACACAACGCACAGGCAAGGTACTCTTTGTGTGTATGTAGACGTCATATGTTAATAAACCTATTTATATTCATGCAACCTCAATAACAGAGCAGTGTTATGGGGGAGCGGACGACAGCGACTGGGGTCAGGCGAAGGAACGGCGCTTGTCCAGTTCCCTCCTGTGCACGAGAAACATGAAGAACTTTGCCTACTCGTGTCTTGCTTGCTGTGTAGTAGAACTGTCTTGAACGTTCCAGCGAATAGGTTTAAGCTACAAACCCATCAATTATGTCTTACCAGACAGTAAATGAAGAGAAATTTGAGGATGTCCAGAAGCATCCTTCCTAAGGAGATCTGCAGTGGCCCGAGGTGGGAGTTGGCGGTGAAGAGGGAGATGAGTCTGAGAGAGCTGAAGATGTTGGCAATGGCAAACAGAGCCTCGGCTATCAGCGTCGGGTGCCACATCTCCCACTCCTCCCTAGGCCGAGAGGAGTTATACTGAAAGAATAAAAGATAGGAAGGAGAGTGAGGCAGGAGGTGAGAGGAACAGCAGAGGAAAAGATTAATAATATATATATATATATAAATAAAACATTTTTTCCATAGTAGCTGGAAGAACATTAGATGGGAACAATGATGTAAGTTTTTTCTATCCATCATAGAGGGTTTAACCTCACTGAGCTGAATGCTTAAGAGGCTTTTCATTTGCCTCTACCCCACATCTCAACTAAGTTTTATCTAAAATGACTTTGTACTTTTGTGTGTGTGTGTCTAATCTCACAAACATCACAGAAAATGTACCTCCGCCTCCACTCTCCTTTTGGCAGAGGAATAAGACCTTTACTGGTGTCCAGTCTCTGTGCTATATTATGCTAAATATCTCCAGACTGAGTCAACCTTGTGTAAAATTGTTATTATTATTATTTTTTCTGCAAAACTGGAGCACAAATGCAGGACAGAAGAGGCAGGTAAACTGAAGAAAAGACAAATGATTTTCTAGTTTGCAAAGATCCAGTAAAACAAAGTTCATCTTTTAAAGTGAGAAATTAAAAAGAGTAAAAACAACACAAGGAAGACGCAGGACTTTTTATACACACGGAGACCTAATAGGAAACTTTTCACAACTTCCAGGGAAGCAACTGAAGCGACAACCAATGACAGCACAGGATACCATCGATTGGCATAAGATGTGGTCGTAAGTAGCCTACATTACATGGTTACCTAGGCAACCAGAGCCTGTAATGTCTGCAAGCCTGACCTGCAGTCAGCTTCAAAGCGATGCTCGACAAGCAGATCACTGCCAGCGTGGACACAGATTAAAAAACATCAGGAGGGTGATCATGAAGCACAAAGCCTTCAGTGTTTCCCCACACACACACCTGACATGATTTTCTTGTTTAATCTACCAAGAAAACATTCACATTCATAGCTGCTTCACTAGTGGAAAATCCACTTCCTCTTATTTTGAAAGTTAATTTGCTGCTAACTATTTATCGCTTTATATTCCTGTGATTTTTATTTTTTATTTTTGGGAGCTGATGATTGTTTTGGGCTGTGAGAATATTTTATGTTTAATTTTTGTTTGTTGTTTATATGGTGAATGGAGTTTTCAGCTTTAAAAAAGAAATTATTACTCATTTCCAGTTGGTCCTGTATATATTTATTTAGTCCAGATTTAGAAATGTAAAAACCTTGATTATTTTCTAACATTTCTTTTTCTACCCTTGTCAGTCAAGTCTGAGCTTTATTTGTATGTGCCACTGTATATGTTCAGTTATTGTTCGTTTTAGCTACTGGGGATGAACAGTAATTGTATGTCATTCTATCGTGTCACACTTCCTGTTTTATTTGGGTAACAGGTGTATTCCCTTGTTCCATTTCCTGTGTTATCCTAGATTTTTGGACTAATCAGAATTAAACACTCATGTTAAGTTTGATGCCGGCCTTCTGTGGTTTACATCTATGTCCACAAAAAACTGCTCACACATCCGACACACGACTCAGGTGTTCAGGTGCTGTCGTTGATATCCTTCAGCCTCTTCCTGAAAGAATAAAGGTTTGGACTGTTGCGGACTACGATCCTTTTTGTTTGGCTCTAACAAGTCTAACTAAAGCTGGACGAGAGGTCAGTGTCCTGTGATGCGGTGCTCTTCGATATTATTCAGCTGTCTCTCCAGTGAGCTTCATGTTCAGTCATTTCATACCCCAACTCCACTTTCTCACTAAGGCTGCACATTGGAAGAGTTGCTAACCTCACTGGTGTATTGCTTTGTACACTTTGTATACAAAGTCATTCTATCTGGGTTTAATGAAGAACACTTTTTATAAGGTTCTACCAAGTAAAATATATTTGCATCTCCACTTCACTTGTGGTGGTCTCTCTTCCACAGCATGTCTTTTGTCCCAACTGGTCGCGGCAGATGGTTGCCCCTCCTTGAAACTGGTTCTGCTGGAGGGAGTTTTTCCCTTCCCACTGTTACTAAGTGCTTGCTCAGGGGGTCGACTATTGATTGTTGGTGTTTTCTCAGTATTTTTGTAGGGTCCTTACCTTATAATATAAAGTGCCTTGAAGTGGCTGTTGTTGTGATTTGGCACTATATAAATAAAACTGTATTGAATTGAATCTCCTCACTCTTATTTTGAAATGTCAGTCACTGCCAACCAGCTAGCCTACAGCTTCTCCCTGTCTCATGTTTCTCTACATGGTTTGCTGGCCTGGGTTGATGATGTGCTGGTTCCAGTGATTTGCTGCACTTTGGGCTTCAATTTCATGGTCTTGCCAAGTCCTCCAAAGCAGAACAAGGAGTGCAGTTGCTAACCACTCTTCGAGAAGCTGGAATTGGAGAGACTCACAGGACAGGCCTCCACTGTCTATTTGTTACAAAGCGGACTTGCTGTATTTATCAAGGGGCACCTTTTCATGACGAAGTTTTTATCGATTTCTTCAGATTTTAGGTGCAACTCCTTTCACAAGAACACACTACTGCCACAAACAGAATCCAAATTTCTGATAAACACCCCGTCTTTCAGAAGACAGTCCCATGAATCATTTTGTGAAGACCACACGCATGTTATACAGACAAAACAGACTAGAGTGACTCTGATATCACACAGCAGTACAGGTATCCAAAATGTAGGAGCATTCCTTGAAAGATAAACACGCTTTAATCCCCAGGAGCTCCCTCAAGCTCTCAGCTGAGCCTTTAAATCTCAACACAGTTCACAGTCGAGGTCCTGTGTTTCTCTTTTTGCTGTTCCTAAGTCCACATTTTCCTCTGCCCCCAGCTTTCCGCTCAATCCTTCTTCGTGCCACGTGCTTGCACATCTTCCCCGTCTCCTGCCATTTCTCTTCTACTTTCACTGTTAATCCCTCTCTATCCTAAGCTCTCTCTTCAAGCCTTTATTCCCTAAAACCGTGATAAATAACCATTCATTACCCTCTTTCTCCCCCACTCCTCCATTCTCTGTTAGTGTTACCGTTTCTTGCTTCACTCATTTCTGTGACTGCTTCCATCCCATTTGCACAAACCTTCTGCACATCTCTCCCTCTCTCCCGGTTGTCTCATGCTTGGCTTCCACCTCATTATAAATTCAGCCATTAGAGTTCCACAGGACTTGTGTCTCGTTAACTCTGCCTCGATTAGCATTCACCGTCCTCTCAAACACACACACACACGTACATGAAAAACACGGGCAAACCAGAAACAGAAGCATGCACACAGTTGCACTCTCATTAATTTATGGACTCTCTTACACCATCTCTCAGATGTGCTTGCTCTGTGTGTCTGTGCATCTGTGTGTGTGTGTGTGTGTGTGTGTGTGTGTGTGTGTGTGTGTGTGTGTGTGTGTGTGTGTGTGTGTCAAATCTTGTGACTCAGGAGGATTTTAAATGTTGATGAATATTTAAAGGAAAAATGAAAAAAAGAAAAAAAAGACAGAAAACTAAAATATAATGTGCCTGCAGCTGCCTCTCCCTTTGTGTGGGCATTCATTGTGTATGACCGTGTGGATGTTTATTCTTGCATGAATGCAAGGTTACATGCAGATGCAATGTGCACAACTGTATGTGCGTGTGTGTGTGTGTGTAGGACCTGTGTAGGAGGGCCACCCGCCGCCATCAGTGACTCACAGCTGCTGCAGATGGCCCAGCCGTCTGGCGTGTGTGTGTGTGTGTGATTACACTATTTGCTCTTAATAAAAGATAAATTGTATATGCATGCAGAGTGCGCAGCTAAACAAGGTATCATTAAAGCTAAAAGCTGAGCTGTGAAAGAAAATCACTGAGGCCATTAAAGTGAAACTGTGAAATATGTAATATGTGCGACCCTCGAAGATGAACAGCGACAAAGGCAGGATCGTGTTTTTAGGTCAAAGGAGTTGCACTTCACAAAGGGCGTGGTGCAAATTCTTTTTATGGTGACGAATAAAAGGAAAAAACAAAAACAGTGGCTGGCTGGATGCTACGTTTTGTCTCAATTTGACATCCGTGTCTATATATTGGTTATACTGTATATACATCCATATCCATCTAAATCTCATGTGCTCTCAGCAGTAAAATCGAAACATTTTTAAACAGCAGTTTTGCCAATACATTTTTCCAGAGAAGTTTTTTATTTTCATTTTTATATTTTATTATTTTCTCATGACACATTTGCACAGCCGATTTGTGTTTTAAATGCCTCTGTTGGCACATTCATGCTTTTCCTTGATAAGTTGCCTCAGCCAGCCGTTGGTGGAATCATCAGCAGGACCCATGTACATGTTCACGAGGCGCAAACATGTAACCCACTCTTGAAATCGCTCCCCTATAGTGCTGCTACACCTCTAATTAATATCTTTGTCTTTAGAAGTTTAGAAGTTACACAGCAGGATTTTTTTTTCCATAATGGAAAAAAGTGTTTGCATTATTTTACTGTGTCCATCAAAATGTGACACAAACGGCATTGACTGTTAGGCTGAGCAAAAGGCCCCATATTTGTGTCGGGCTGTGCTCTCGGCATTGTCTCTCTTATGGTCAGTTAATGTTAACATGTCCTATTGTGCATCTGCAAACTGTCATTTCTGCTATTTGAGTGAATGTATGGGACACTGCAGCGGGAAATGGTTATTGCATGACCAAAGCTATAAAAAAGAAATGCTTTTATGCAAAGGGGTTTTAACCCTTTAAGACCTACCATAGAACCAAGTCCGCCAGAGCTTATATTATATTTTTACATGCTGTGGAGCCATTTTTGGGAGCATTTCCAGTTGCTATACATCAATACAACAATTATAGCCCAGATTTAATAATATGTATTCATTAAGTGCATAGTAATTACATAAATTGCAAAAAAGTGCAATAAACTACAAAAAAATTGAAAATCGTTTTTGATTTTTTAACATATATTTGTAGTTAGAGAAATTTAAGAGGCTTATCCCTCAAAACTGTAAATACAAAAAAGTTGCACAAAATAGTTTCCCACCACAGGAAATTTATTTTGAGTGTCTTCATAGTTTTATTTTTGAAATACACCAATTTTTATACACTGCAGGAAAAACGAAAATAAATATTATACTGCAAATTTGCAAAAAAGCAGCATATGCATCAAAATAAACTATTTCCAGCAGTGCAATATGAGTCCTAAGCATCCCAGAAACGACACAGAAAGTCATAAAGTCAAAGATAACTTTTAAAAAGAGCAGTATAGGCCCTGAGGCCCTGATCGCAAAAAAGACTACATTTCCGCGAAAATGACGTCACTTCCGGTTTCGGCCAGGTAATGGCGGAAATGCAAAAGTTCGCGCTGACGTCTATTCCAACGTAGGAAGTGTTTTGAACAGCTGATCGGACCGGCAAAGCGTGTTTCTGGAATATTATGTTTTTGTTCCTGCAAGCGCTTTTTATGCAGTTTTTGCAAAGCTTTATGTGGAAGGAAACCGTGACCTAGGACAAGCTGATGGCATAAGATGTAAGTACAACTCCTCCGGTTTCATATGCAAAAAAAATTTTTGCGCTAGCTTACGTGGTTCCAGTGCTACCGGGATTTAAAAATAGTTACGCATAACAGAGCGTTCCCGCTCCGATCGGCTCTAAAGGGTTAATAGAATAAATCTTATCTGTTTCTTTGTCTTCAAACTCTTCCTACAACATCAAGAGTTGAGCAACCAAGCTTTACAAACAGGTAGATTTTAAGCTCCTGAAACTTCTTTCCATTATCAGACCTACACCGTTATATAAAAGCATTATAGGCATAACATGACCGCAACTTCTACATTTTATCCACAATACTTAAATTATGAATGATATACACCATCTAGCTGTCACCTAGCTAAAAATGACCTTTTTCTTTACGCACCTACAACGCCCTCTGAAAGCATTCTACCGTTTTAATTTCATGACAACGACATCTCATTTATTGAATTATACATGCTTAGTAACCACCTAGCAATGGGCGAAAAATTTTAGCATGTAAACAATATCTAAATAACGATGCAGCACTGCATACCTCTCTGGCAACCAGCTTCCAGAAACCCTGAGCAACTACTTTTCAGATGGTTGGGGAATACGACTTTCACTAGCAACTAAAGGTTGCCAGAAGGCTCTAAGCATGCATGACTGAGGCTAGCTTGAATAGCCTCAGTCATGCCAGCCTCAGTAATGCTAGCTGAAAGCTATTCAAGCTAGCATGGATTTGCAGTGCAAATATGAGCAATTCTGACGCCCCAAATACAATATGGTTACACCTGGTAACACCTAGAAAGTAAAACAGAAGCTTTGAAACAGGTGACCAAAGGGTGATGTGAAGTTGGCCATTCTTGTCCATACACTCTTTGGTGTCAGGGTGGGGCCACATGGACCGGGCTTATTTTGGTGCAGCTCAGAAATTGTTGATGGGATTGGACTGTGGGGAGTTAGGAGGTTACGTTAAAGCCTTGGCGTCTTTTCTGCTGGTGGAGATCATGGCAAGCATTTCAATGCAAGGATTTCCCATCACCACATTACTTACTCTCGCCTTCTATGAGTGTATTTAATGCTATGTCTGAGCACTGTAGTGCTGCGACACTGCTAGCAGTAAAATCTCCACATTCGGATTGTTTAACAGTCATCTTTCTTCTTCCACACAATGCAAACAAAAGCGTTTAACAGACATTTGAGCTTTGCCTGTTTCCTGCTGTTCCATGAATGCATCATTACACAATCAGCATGTTACTCAGTATCATTTTAGTTTCATCTCCCAGCAAGAACATTAAGCACTGATTACCTCATAAACTGACTGACGCTTTATATCTTTCACTGTGCCCATCATCCTCCTTCCTCTCATCCTCCCCTCTTTCTAAAACACACATTCAACTTTACCTTCACATAGGCTACTATCTTCAGAGATATGGTGGCCAGATAGAGGGAGTTCATGGCGAAGTCCATCAGATTCCACCAGTCATGGATGTACTCTGTGAATCCCCCGTCCCACATCTCCTTAATCTCTGCCCAGATGAAGCCTAAAACACACATGCACAGTGTACACAGAGCTGGTTATTTACATGCACACACACAGTTGTGTCTATATGATCATTTAATGTCATCCATCAGCGGTTTTTGTTTGCCTCATTTCTGCAGTATGACAAAAGTTCTGCTGAATATTCCCCTTTGTCAGCGGCCTTGGAGCAGTAAGCAGAGAGCCATCATATTTGTTCTGTATGACTGGCTTTAGATAAAGTAAATAATGCACAAGTCATTTTCTATTTAATACTCTCTCCCTGGAATATCTGGCTCTTGGTTAACCTGGATTCCAAGTTTTCACGTATCAGTTTGCCTCTGCGGCACGGTGGGTCAGTGGTTTGGTGTGTTCCAGGAAATATGACGCCAGAGGAGCTTCCAGTTGGTTCTTCCCAATTAGTTCCCAATTAGACTGGTCGTTACTACCGCCTAGTAATGTTTAAAAGATAGAGCTGGCGTGTGGTTCATTATCACTGCGGCCATTTAGAGAGATGCTGCAGAACTGCAAATGGAGAATGAAAACTAAGCAACGGTTATTTCCTCAGTCAATCTTCTGGGAGTTTTAGGGGTTTTTACAACATCTACGACTCTCTTCCTCTTTCATTGCTCACTGCGTTCTTCTTATCTGTGAACACAAACTCTGTCCTAGCAACAAATCCAAACATAGTTATTATTCTCAGAAACAACAAACAATATTTCCAGAGTGGTCATAGTCATTTAGTGGTGTGAAACAGATCCAACACAATGGATTCTTGGCTCTTGGTTTTGTCGTAAAGCAAAGTGAGGATGATGTTCAAGTATTATGTTATATGTCAAGTGTAGTGTAGAATGACCACAGATCCCATGATACGATTTACATTTACTGGAGCAGAGCGAGTATCCTGATTACCAATATTGTGTTGCTATGAACTGCAATCAGGGTTTGTGAGTATTCTGTAAAATAAACAAATAAAACAAGCCGACTTTACAGTATTGTTGTATCTTAATTATCATTTAGTCACATCTGGACACTCCAAATGTCATTACTATACAAAATAAAGTAATGAGCACAAAAGGCAGAAGGGTTATATTTTTATGCGATTCAAATACAAGATGTTTACATTATTTTACATTTACATTATAAACAGGAAACATCTACAAAATTACTCTATTAAGCCCCAAATTAAGAACTGACATTCAATTCGTTTTTTTAATCATTTCTAATGGAAGAAGTTTAATTATTCTGAAGGTAATAAAAAATGTTTTAAATAACCTCATAAATGCAGCCCTGTAACATATTTGGGGACAGGAGACAGAATCATTTTAATCCCCCCCCCCCCGCCAATTTTGCTGTACACGTACAATGACAATAAAGGGCTACTCTATTCTATTCTATTCTGTTCTGTTCTTACAGCATTACATAGGTGAAATAAGTTAGAGCAAAATGAACAAATAGACCTGCTGTGAATACTGACAGCTGATCAGTCATATTTTGGAGACTTTTCAAGCGTTCCCTCTTAAAAGTAAAATTTAAATATAAATCAACTCCAACACATTTTAATTTCTGAAATACTTCTACAGATTTTTGCAATTCCATGCAAACAGTTTTAAACGAATGCAGTGATCGATTCAGAGATATCCAATAACACAAGAACTGTTATATAAATGTATACAGTCCACCTTTAATATAGCTTTTGTCTCTCCCATAAATAACATTCTGGTAGAGCGTACCTTACCATACTTTGGTTTTTGACAGCAAGAAAATGTTATTGCTGCTTATATTTCATTTAATCTAAAGTTTATTCCAGACGAAGGAGTTTTTGAAAATAATTTTTGAGCTACCTGTTGCTCATCTTTCAGTCCCAAGTCTTCCAAATCTTGTTATTTAATTTTACTTTAAAAATTATGTTACTTTAGCTTTATTTGTTTTTTAATTTAAAAATTAACATTTTAATGGAGTCATAATGTTCCAGAAAAACAAATATATTAGAAATCACCTAAAATAATGAAAATTAAAAACCACTGTGCTACAGAAAAACATGGAAGTAGTATTGTGTTGTACCTAATCTGAACTTAAATAAATGCATGCACATGTTTTTTAACATTAGACAGATACATAGACGAGTATTGCCACAGACTGTAAGAATGACAGACATGCTGAACTTTATTTTGAATTCTGGGGAGAAACATTTAACCCTTTAAGACCTACCATAGAACCAAGTCCGCCAGAGCTTATATTATATTTTTACATGCTGTGGAGCCATTTTTGGGAGCATTTCAAGTTGCTATACATCAATACAACCATTATAGCCCAATTTTAATAATATGTTTGCATTAAGTGCATAGTAATTACATAAATTGCAAAAAAGTGCAATAAACTACAAAAAAATTGAAAATCGTTTTTTTTTTTAACATATATTTGTAGTTAGAGAAATTTAAGAGGCTTATCCCTCAAAACTGTAAATACAAAAAAGTTGCACAAAATAGTTTCCCACCACAGGAAATTTATTTTGAGTGTCTTCATAGTTTTATTTTTGAAATACACCAATTTTTATATACTGCAGGAAAAACGAAAATAAATATTATAATGCAAATTTGCAAAAAAGCAGCATATGCATCAAAATAAACTATTTCCAGCAGTGCAATATGAGTCCTAAGCATCCCAGAAACGACACAGAAAGTCATAAAGTCAAACATAACTTTTAAAAACACCAGTATAGGCTCAAAAAACTACATTTCCGCGAAAATGACGTCACTTCGGTTTCGGGCAGGAATGGACAGTGCGATAGTTGCGCTGATGACGTAGGAAGTGTTATGAACAGCTGATCGGATCGGCAAAGCGTGTTTCTGGAATATTATGTTTTTGTTGCTGCAAGTGCTTTTTATGCAGTTTTTGCAAAGCTATATGTGGAAGGAAACGTGACCGAGGACAAGCTGATGGCATAAGATGTAAGTACAACTCCTCCGGTTTCATATGCAAAAAAAATTATTGCGCTAGCTTACGTGGTTGCAGTTCTACCGGGATTTAAAATAGTTCGCAAAACGGAGCGTGCCGCTCTGACCGGTTTTAAAGGGTTAAGTGCAACTATGCCTAAGTTCTTTGGTATTTAATGAGCCTCACGAAAAACTACAAAAGGAAGCAACAGAAGGAAATGTTCCAGTTTTTACCATCAACATGACAACCAGTTAATGGTAAATCATGTTTCTTTTTGTCAAACATGTTTTGTAGCCGAGACTTTAAAAATGAGAAGAAAACAAGCGGAAGAGACGATGGAAGAGAGCAGATGGTTTTGTATTTTTCCAAGTGATTATGGACTGCATTTGGAAATGATTGGTGTCAGCTCTGAGAGAGAAGATGGAGATGTAATCATCATTTCACACCCACACACTACCACTTCTTTCTCTCTCTCACACACACATACAGACACACACAGACACACACACACACACACACACACACACACACACAAAACTAACTCCTCCACAGGCTTGAAAGCAGCCGACCACGCACCCCCACATCCACGCACTTTTACAGACACACTCCGGGGCCTCTTGATGATTAGCAATCAAACAGAAAAAATGAAGCAGATAAGTTTGTCTTTATTAATTTAAATCTGGTTGGTTTTTTTTACTGTCTGGAGGAGAAAGTCCGGCTTCTTGCCGGGCAGTGACTCATTCAAGACTTTAAATGTGAAGTTCGTCGTTAGAGCTCAGCTTAGAATAGTTGATATGAGTCACTTATTAAAGACATATGAAGTAAAAAAGTGTGACATATTTCGTTTGTCTGTGCAAAATGTTTGTAAGCGCTGTTTAAATTTAGAGAAAATATACTTTCAATAACAGCTGAAAAACACTCACAAAACTAGTAGTTTCCTGTTGACGTCGGTTGTTTTGAACAGTCAAATGTTACTCCACTGACCCTCTCCATGCACCATTTCCTGAGCCAAGTCCCAAAGTCCCCTAACTGTCAGTCTGTAGTTGGCAACTTTTGAAACAGATTCCCATAAATCTTCCTCCAGCCTTGTTGTTCCCTCTATACTGATGTTTTAAAAGGTTACCCAGCCCATTTCTGTAACACCGTCAAAGTCATGACAGCTGAAAAAAAAAAAAAGATTCAAACTGAAGCAGCAGAGCCTGGAATCTTTTTTTATATAACTTCCAGTTCAGCTTCATCAGAGCCCGCTTTCCACATTACAGACAATAGCAGTGCAGGCATGAGCGTTTTTGGACATCGCCTAACAGAGTTGTTGAATCTGATGCAGTTTGACCGGACACTGAATGGTCCTTAATCTCAGCATCATAGCTGGCAGTTCCAACCCAATCATGCATTTCAGACAAGGTCAAAAAATGTTTAGTGTTTTATGCATGTTTGTTAGAATCATTATAATCTTTGTTTTGTGACTGTCAAGACTTGGGAGAGCAATTTTGTAAAAAAAAAAATCAAAACAAAAACAAACAAATAAACACAGGGTTAATTTTAGGGTAAAGGTCAGTGAAATGAGACTCTTTGGAGGAGGTCTTAGTACGGCTTCAAATGAACTCCAGGGTGGTTTAATCTATGGTGTGAATGTAGACTTGTAGTCAAGACTGCCTAAACCAGGACCAAGACAATACCAAAACCAGAGGGTATCGAGACATCCAACTCTATATGAATGCGATCTGACCTTGATCCGAACCAGCTACTAGCAGTACGTTATAAGTTCCAGATAAACAAAAATTTCTCATAGCCATGTATGCTTAGTATTCTGGGGTGCGGCAAGATACTATAGACGTGCAAAAGTATGTACCGTAAATGTCGGGCTATAAGCCGCTACTTTTTGCACAAGCTTTGAACCCTGCGGCTTTTAGTCAGGTGCGGCTTTTCTATGGATTGTCCGTGATTTTTGTCATATCATAAGACGATTTGTTTTGTGTGTTCCGCTGTTTTACGGCACTACGTTGCCTTCTGAGGGTGTTCGACTCTGACACTGACAACGAAGGAGAGAAGCGGAGAGTGGATGACGAAGCCATCCTGAGCCTGTTTGTATCCGACACTGGAGAAGAGGACTTTGGTGGTTTTAGTGCGCAGGAAGAAGAGAAAGATGGTGGTGAATGACTGACTTTTCTTCTTGTTAAAGCTGTGTCACTGCACCTGAGCCTAAAAGGTAGTCCGAATCTATTTTTCTGGTGTGCTGTAGGCTACTCTTATGTACTACATGTGCAAATATGTACCCATAACTTGTTTTTCAAAATATTAATAAAAGTGATGTCTCCAAACAGCCATCTCTTTCCTGACAATTCCCTTTGTGCATATTCTCTTACATATGATAAGTCAACATTGAAACACCTGCGGCTTTTGGTCAGGTGCGGCTAATGTATGTACAAAACAGGATTTTCCCCTGATTTTAGCTTGTGCGGCTAATATTTAGGTGCGCTTTGTAGTCCGGGAAATACGGTACATGACTAGCAAATAGCTGTGAAATGAATGTAAATTCTCCAATAGTCCAGAACACAGCAATTTCTTCATGTTTTTACTTTTGATGGTCCCAGTAAGTAGACTGGACATTCTCACGTGGTTTGAAGTGACGCATTTTGTTTCACTTGGAGTCCACTTGGATTTTTCTTAGTGTGGAAAGAACCCAAATCTAAGGAAGAACCTAAAAGTTTGAAAACTCAACAATTGATTTGGACCTTCGAACTGTAAGTGTGAAAACGGGCTTAGACCTCACTAGGTTTCCTTGCCAGTTTCCTGGTAAAACGTGTGTCGACATGAGAGCATAATCTCTGAGGAATTCATAACAAGCAGGCATTTGCCCTGTGTCCTCCCCCCTGCATGCCTTGCCCAGTCAACACCCCTGGCTAAACCCAGCTGAGGACTTCTAACAGTGTCAACACACCTATCATTGTGAGAAAGTCCAAGTGGAACTGAATTCATGTGTGAAAATGACTAATTTACCGTGACGCTTTTGCCTGAGATGCTGCTAGTTTTGCTGAGAGCAGAGCCTGCAGCAGTGGTGGAGGGGGCTCCACCGGTGTGGTGAGCCTGCGTCACAACACCACGCTGTCAAACTGATTTCAAATTTCAAAACTGTCAGACACTTGAGGACATTTATTAGGTCTCTCATTTCCCTGGGGTGGCGCAAGTCTTTCTTCACAGTCTAATTCATAAATGGAATACATTCAATTTTCTACCTCTAGATTTTACAGATTTTATGAAAATTCTTGGAACTGTATTAAAAATAAAAACACAAAACATGTACACATGTATTCATAGCTTTTTTTAGTATAATGATGCTACGAGGTTAACACCTATTTTCTGTTTCTTCCACAATTCTTTGCAGAACCTTTTAAGCTCCATCAGGTTGATAGGGACGCATTGCCCAAGGAACAGCCAAGTAACAAACAGGAAGCTAAAAAAAGTCTTTATGTAAATAATGCAGGGCTGGCCAACTCCAGGCCTTGATGGATGGTGTCCTGCAGGTTTTAGACGTGTCCTTGATCCAACACAGCTGAATCAAATGACTAAATGACCTCCTCAACACGTCCTGAAGTTCTCCAGATTCAGGTGTGTTGACCCAGGGGGATATCTAAAACCTGCAGGACACCGGCCCTCGAGGCCTGGAGTTGCCCACCCCTGAAATAAAGCTAAGCTGAGGTGAAAACATCACCATTTACCAGGATAAATGCAAAGTTGCTTTTTGAAGAAACCCCCTTTACCATGCTGAAACTGTCAAACACGACTCTTAACTTTCATTGACTGTTTCACACAACTATTTTATTACATGAAAACATGTCTTCAAAGTGTGATTTGAAGTGGCTGATGGCACATATTTCTCACAACACACAAAAAAAGCAGAATAAACAAAAAAAAAAGAGTTACTGTCCCCATCTGTAAAGTCTTTAAGTCCAGTAGAGAAGAACAACAAAGGCTCTAAAAGCTGGATTTAAACTTTGTTCTTGCCTTCGGCAGAACTTGGTTTTGTAGGCAGACAGAAGACATCTGTCGGATCATGAAAATCTTTGTAAAGATTCAAACCCCTGTTGGATACCAGCCAGTGTAAGGGATGCTATGTGACTGAATTACAGAGAAACTTCCAACAGATCTGAGGTCAGAGCTGCAGAAAGGCCAGTCACAAACAGAGCAGATCATTTCAGCAGGTACAGAGTTTTTAAGCACAATCCTCCGAGGAATACTCTGAAAACTTACCCAGCACCCACGGCAGAATCATCCACTCCACAATGGTGGGTGGGGGTCCCTGCATGTGCAGATTGGTGCGGGCGATGTGCTGCGAGGCCAGCAGCAGTAAGAAGAGAAAGGTCAGGTAGGATGCCGTGTGACAGATGAACTTGATGAAAGGCTTCTTAATGAAACTTCCCAGAGCACTCTTTGGAGCCAACAGGTAGATCTGAGGAGGATGGAGAGAGGGAGATGGACAGGGGGAGAATGGAAAAAGAAAGGATTTCAGTAAGAGCACAAAAGAAGAAGGAGAGGCAAGATAAGAGGGAGCCTGCTTTGTTATTAAATGAACTTTAATGACCAAAAAAATAAATTAAAATAAAATCAGCCGATGGAAGTGGCTTGAAGGCATAAAAACACAGGACTCAATGTCTCCAGAGACGTGACTCTCAAAGCAGAGCAACACAAACAAGAAATTTGACATTATGTAACGATTAATGAGTACAAAAAACATCACCTCAGATGCTTGTTGATGCCTTAAACTGATTTTGTCCTCTCAAATATTGTTCTTTTCCCCTCAATTTCAGCTCAACAGGGAAGAAAAAGAAGAAGATGTATGTAAGTCGATAAATGTCCATGCTCAGCCACCGTCACCTCGTGTTTCATCTGTCAGCGCTGTTATTGTTATCGCTGGCGTTATTGCCGTTATGATGCTTGTTTACTTGCTCTGCTCGTCTACTTGCTGCTGGCAACCTCGGCACACTGAGTCACGCCAGTGAAGCTTTTTAACTCGAACTGAGTCGCACGTCGACAGACTCAGAAACAATAAGGCCGAAAGAGAGCGAGAGGGAGAGAGACGTGTGCTTAAATACACAATTAAAACATTAATAACTAACCCCACTGCGGCACCACTCTGATTATTGATATGTAAGCACTTTATGTTAATTATCTCACTCACATCAGCAAAAACATGCAGTGTAAATAACCTCAATTAAGATCAAATTACATGTCGGAGTCTTTGAAGACACCACAAAGGTCACAGTAATAAACGAGAGGAAAGAGGTGCAAATATTTTCCCCTTTTCTAATTATTCTTCCTTCTTAAGCTTTATAGAAAGACAGAAAAGTAAACTAACATTAAAAATGAGCTAACAGCATTCATCTAAGAAGGAGGAAAATTTTTAAGAAAGCCTGTAAGATGGCTCCGAACTTCCAGACCAATTATTGGGTTTAACAGAGTTATGTTGAAAATGTATCCCTGAAATGTGCTGCAAACAAATGTTTTACTTTTCTTTGGCTTTATGTGGGGAATCAGGAAACAAGAGCCAGTATGTAAGTTGACTTGTATTTTGGAAAACTGTGCCCTTTAACTGTCATGTGACTCTTCATTTTAGAACCGCCCATCATTCCTGCCAGGCTGTGAAAAGCAGCAGCACATGGCAGTGAAGGCAAGCACCAATTTTCTTTACAAAACTGTCTTTGGCTCGTCAAAGTACAAATATCTAAAGCAATTAATTCTCCTGAAGATATCAAGTTTTTGTTTTTCCCTCTTGACTGACTTGTGGTTTTGTCCCTTTGCCTCAGATCTCCTCCTTGTTTGCATATCTATTGAGTTTCCTGCTGCTTCTTGAATGTGTCAATAAATCATTTAAAGTATTCCTGGAGTTCAGAGCAGTAACCCGGACGACCAAAGAGATATAATCTCTCCAGCATATCCTGGTTCTATCTAGGGGCCTCCCAGAACATCTTCCCAGGAGGCTTCCTAATCAGATGCCTGAACCACCTCAACTGGCTCCCTTAACGTGGAGGAGTAGCAGCCCTACTCTGAGTTCTCCCAAATAAAAATAAACTCTTCCCCCCTCCAGGAGGCATCAAAACCTGGAGAAATCTCATATCTGCTGCTGATCTTGTACTTCTTCCACCTTCGATTGCTGCATGGTTGACAAACCCCTGCTTCGGTCAGATAGACCCATGCAGCATGTTGGAGATTAGCCCACCTGGACCCTACAGAGTCATCAGGTGCTCATCAATTAAAGGCTCGCCAAGACCTGGATCCAACATGGAACACCATGATCCATGACCCAGGAATGGAAATGAATGTGCAGTTTTGTACAGAATTTTGTTTATTTATTTTAAAATGGCCTGCATTTGTATAGCACTTTACTCAGTCCCTAAGGACTCCAAAGCGCTTTATACTACATTCAGTCATTCACACACAGGTAATGGCAAGCTACGTTGTAGCCACAGCTGCCCTGGGGCGCACTGACAGAGGCGAGGCTGCCGGACACTGGCGCCACCGGGCCCTCTGACCACCACCAGTAGGCAAACATGGGGTTAGTATCTTGCCCAAGGATATTTGGCATGCAGCCAGGATGCAGCGTGGGATCGAACCACCGACCTTCTGATTAGTGGCTGACCTGCTCTGCCACCTGAGCTACAGCCACCCCATGTTTAGAGAAATGTTTCTCAATTTCTCTAGACTCAAAGGTTTTAAAGATGAACAAAAGCAGATCTTTATCTGCATCCCAGCATTAATGACTCAGCAAGTTAACACATTGGCTCATAAGTTGGCTGAAGTTCATCTGTGTGTATTTAGTTGGCTCATATTACTGCAGTACCAACAGCATAAATAGACATTTTTCTGAAACGAAATCCTTTAAAACATAAAATGACCAGATTAAATATATAACACACTCCGTATGTCTGTGACATCTGTTAACTTCCAGGTCCTCTTCAAAACCTTATTTCTTATTTTCCATCGTCCTTCAGTCAGTAAACCGTAACTTTGGTCTAATTACTACCTGAAAACAGTCTGAAAAAGCAGCAGTTTGGTTGCATCAGCTCTTTGACTTTATTACCCTATATTTCTTCTTTTCCCCATGTCATTGATTTCTTGTCTTTCTCCTTTCTAGGAAAATGATCATTTTGTCAGTTCCTCTTCTCATCTGTCTTTCCACTTCTCCTGCCATTTATCTCTCACCTTCTTCATTTATTTTCTCTAATTCCCTCTTCCTCCTTTGAACTTTCCTGAATCTCAATATTTCCATTTTTCTAAATTCCTTTCCAATCTAGATTTTCATCTTCTCTTCCTGCCTTGCTTCTTGAAATCTCGATCCCCCATCTATTGTCATCTTTTTAGAAAGAAAGAAAGAAAGTGTACTTTATTGATCCCCATGGGGAAATTCCTCTCTGCATTTTAACCCATTCACTCAGTGAAGCAGTGGGCAGCCATTGGGCGCCTGGGGAGCAGTGTGTAGGGACGGTACCTTGCTCAGGGGTACCTCAGGGTAGCTGTTCAGGGGAATCGAACCCCCGACCTTCCGATCACAGGGCCACCACTCTACCTACTGAGCTATCCCTGCCCATCCTTAACCCACTTTCTTCAAATCTATATACTCCATCCTCCTGCACCCTCCCATTATTCTTTTTTCCTTACCAATGAGAAGACCGGGAACAAGAGTCCGATGATAAAGCAGGTGACCAGTTTAACCGCCCAGTGTCGTCTCCTCCAACCCGGGAAGCCATCATACCACAGTGTGGCCAGCAGCTGCTGGCAGTTTGGCTGTGCCACAAACTGGAAAGAGAACAACAGGGAGAGGAAATGCAGTTTAGTATATGTGAAAAAGCCGTGAAAAGTCCTTTTAAACGTAGTTCATTAATCATACAGAGGCTTTTTTTTTGTGTGGGGGGGTACCGCTTGTATAAAAACAGCTTTCACATCACTACACAGAGTTCACATTACTACTTCCCAAGTCTCATCAGGTTACACTTTACAAAAATGTGATCACCCTGACTGCTTAATAAGTTCATGGAAACATTTGCCTCTGCCTGCTCAGTGGTGTTTATTTTGATGCTGATGCCATTACCAAATTATCTCCTCCTTCTTCACTTCATTCATTTTTTCTTAACTCCAGGAGGCTGCGGCCCTTTCATCTTTTCTCCCTCTTCTATCATTCCATCTATATGTAATTAAATCATTTTGTTATTCACAGTCACACATTCCCGATAGAGTAAAACACGAGTGGCTCTTAGCGTGTCCTTTATTAGTAGTAGTCGGATATCAGAGTGAACTGTCATCTTGTTAAAGTCCATTTCCATCTCGACTGTGACATTGACTCCTCTGACTGATTTCTACTGGGATTGGGATTTGATTTCCCCTAACCAATCACAAAAGAACAAGGTATCCACCTGAAGCTAATGTGATTAAACTCGACACTGCTGCACAGCAATGCAAACATACAGTTTTTTCCCCAGGGATTTAGAAGCAAAGAGCAAAGTACAGTAAAAAGAAAAATAGGTCTTCAAACGAGGTTGCTGGTAAACACGTAGGAGATAACCTTTGCAGATAATTTTCCAGTATTTTTAGAATCCTTATCTTGTTGTATCCACTGGTGCATCAGTGGATTAAGCCAGGCACAGGAATTAATTAATAACTGAAACCTTTTAAGACTTAATACCGGACAGTTAAAGACACTCAAACAGACCAGACTCACGTCTTTGACAGCCAGAGAGCAGAAAAAAAAAATCAGAACAACTGAGTCATTCAGCTACACAACATACATTCATACAGACGTGGCAGAAGCTCAAACTTAGGCATATAGACATAGCCAAGAAGTTTAAACTGAAAATCAGAACGAAGAAGAAAAGTCATTCTGAATGCACAACATGTCAAACCTTGAGGCAAATGTACTGCAGCAGGAGAAGACCACACCAGGCATCACAGCTAAAATAGGAAAGGGAGGGTACAGTTCATCCAGGCTCAACAAAAATGGACAATAAGAGTTTGGAAAACGTTCTCTGGTCTGATGAGTCTCGATTTCTGCTGCAACATTCAGGTAGTAGGATCACAATTTTGTGTAAACAACATGATAGCATGGATCAATCCTGCTTTGTCTGAACACCATTATACCACCAGGGTGCTGCATGTGGTGTCGTGGTGTTGGGGATGTTTTCTTGGCACAACTGGATTTTTTGTAACTACCACACCCTACCCCAGTTGTTGCTGCCCATGTCCATCCCTTTGCTACCACAGTGTATGCATCCACTAATGGTTTCTTCCGGCAGGATAGCACACCATGTCACAAAGCTCAAATAATCTCAAACCGGTTTCTTGAACATGACACAGAGCCTTGTAGAAGCCTTCTTCAAAAAAGTCCTGTTACATTTCAAAATAAAGCCCCAGCTACTTTTAAGATTAAAACCACACACAGAACAGTCTAAGATACACACACACACACACACACACACACACACACACAAACACACACACACAAAGAAACTAGTCCTAATAGCTGTTTAGCAGCAGGAATCCCAGCAAGGACTGTTCTTTTCTGCCTAACTACAGTGCATCACAAGATCAGCACCATGGACAGCTCTTTCCACACTCTATACTACAGGATGCTGAAATGTTTGAAGCAAAGCTGGTAAAAATTCAGACAGTCTCATAAAAAGAGCTTATGTTTAGTTATAGACAGTGCAGATACAATGTGCCAGGATCAATTATCTCCAAGCCCACACTTACAGAAAAAAAACACAAGGAAGTGAAGAAATCTGCAGTTATCACCAAATGTTCAGCCGTCAAAAGTTGCAGAAGATAATTTTTGACTGACAGTTTCAGGTGTCATCCTGTTTTGGTTTTTTTTCCTGTTCCTGTTTTCCAGTTTTCCTCTTCAATCTATTAGCTAAATGTTTGGTTCATAACAGTTTCCCGTCCTTGTGTGAAGGTGGATGTGCCAAATTGAGCTGGATGTTTATTTAGCTCATTTATCTAAAAGGATGTTTGTTTAAAGGAGAAACACATTATTAACATTCTCTTATACACATACAAAGACACACAGACATGACTCGGGGTGATTGATAACCTTCAGTCTCTGAAGCCTTTTCAGAGTATGAGAGTAATTTACAGTCCTGGGATTTTTACCAAGATTAAAACTAATCACCGAAAAGCAGAAATGAGAAGGAAGGAAGTAAATAAATTGAAAGGTACTGAATGAAGAAAGGAAGAAAATGAAAGATGGGCCTGGCAAGAACAAGGAAGCAGAGGAAGAGAGAAGAAAAGAAAAAGGGGGGCACAATGGGAGAAAGAAAATAAGAGGAAAAGTCAGACAGGAAGGAAAGAGGAATGGTTCTTGGTGACTCAGAGGGCACCTGAAGGTCCGATGGGGACAAACAGCCTTTGGCGTAATGCCAACAGTATTAGCGGTTGAACTGTAATGAGATGTAAATGGAAAAAACAGAGGAGCTACAAACCTGTCAGGGCTGAAAGTAACCTTTGGTTTGTCATAAAAGCTCACAGAGGAAGATAAAGCCTCCCCAGATTTACCCGTATGCTTGTGGTGGAGCATTTCTACGTGTAAAGATTACACATGATTCCTTTGTCAGGACTCATGTCACCATTTTAATGGAAACAAAAATGTTCACATTGTTTGCAGGGTTAGTGTATGTCGACAAGCAGCAGCAATTGCTAAATCTTTTTTACATTGTTGAATTATTGTTTAAATCACCAAGATAAATACTACATATTAATGCTATGGAGCATAACAGTATGCAAAGTTCTGACTAACTGTATGGATTTCAGCTTATTGACTGTTGCTGTGATTTGGACCTATTTAGATAAAGCTTTAAATGTGATGTACAACACAAATAAGAATAGGAAGATTTTCTGATTTTTCCTTTTTCCACCAACTTAGCATTTTTTGTTTTCTTCCACCCCTCAATTTCTTTCACCACTTTGTTAAATCAGTTGTCTTTGCTACATCCCATTCTCAGTGTTTTTCTTTTTCTTCTCTGTTCTACATCACTGAGCTTCTTTTCGTTGTCATCTTGTGTATTTTCTTTTTCATTATATGACCCCCAATCCTCTTTACTTCTCCCCTTCTATACATTGCGTCTCTTCTCAACTGATTCTCCACCTCCTCTGAGTTTGGTCTCCACTCCCGTCCTTCTCACTTTGTATTTGCTCGCTTGTCTTTCTTTTCTGCTCAGTCGCATTTCTTCTCCTCACCCCTTCTTCCTTACCCTTCTTCTTTTCTTCCATCCATCTTCCTATCCTCCCCTCAGCTCCAGCATGGTGTCCTGTTTCCATGGCAGCAGTATGCTAATGAGCTAGTTGATCTTTTGGCTTCACTAAACTACAGCAGTCTGCTCCTTTCTCTCCTTTCCTGTTTTGCTGTTGATAAATATGCTTGTCATCGTTTACTGTTGACACAAAAACACTTGCTGACGTAACAGCACCATTTGAGATGGCCTCTAGACCAATCAGAAAGTCAGAGCAGATCAGGAAGGAGAAACCTAAGAAGCAAACAGATCTCAGGCATAACTCTGTTTTTGGGATATATAGAACAAGGTGAGACATCACTGAAATAACTTATAAACTCACAATGAATCAGAATAAATTACACAACACTCTGAAAAAGCTGGGGTGGTGGGTGGTATAATTTCATCATCAGCGGTCAGTCAGCCAGTAGCATGAAGATGATAGAAATACATTGTCTGGATCCAGGCAGTGAATGGTAAATGACTGTGGTGGGCGATGGGTCAGGTCAGCTGAACTGGGGACACAAATGACATCATTTTCCTGTCTGAACCTACATTAGGTTAAGAGATCTACATTTTACTTGCATCAGCATTGAGACATGGATGAGTGGCAAATTCCAGACAGTCAAACTCCTACTGAAGTGGAACAAATGAGAATAGTGGCAATTTATGCCCTGATGATCAGTTTATTCTATTCTATTTATATTAAATTCTATTCTATTTAGCAATATTCCCACAGATATTATCTTTTGATATATTATTCTTTTTTATCTTTAGAAAAAAAAGGTGGCTAGGTTGATTTTTAAAAAAAATGCAGCAGCATCATTCATCATTTTCAATATATCTTTAACATGTCGTCATGATAGGTATTTTTTATACTTCCTAACGATCTCTTTTCTTTTTGAATGAAGAAGAAAATGGTTAAAATACATGGTTACCTAAAATTGATTGTAATTTGGCCAAATTGCACTAGCAGAAGGGTGTTAATAAAGTAAGAATTAAATGGTCATGTTATATAACTTATAACATGTGGTGGTACCACTATAAAGCTTAGCTGTCGTGTGCTCTGGAATATATTGTTAGCTTAGTAACTTGTCAGACGCAGCAGCTGAGACACCGGTTCTGTATTAATATCAGGCCTCCAGCTTGATACATTTTCTTGAAATACTGACAACAAAGGAAGCAGGCACCATCAGTTTTTTTAGTAATTTAGTATTGCCCCCAAAACCAGACTGTTAATATGGCCCAAATGTAACTGCCAGCTCTGGGACCCGTTTTTTTATTCCACTGTACAAGTTAATAATTTTCTAAATTTAACTGATCCAGAATCCAATTTGCAAAATAAACTATCACATATTACAAAATACGAGCAATGGACAACACAAACAGCTGATATATTCACCCGACTGCCAAAACCTATCGTATACATTTAAAATGAGCTCATGTTTAATGGCAAACAGCAACCACACATGGATACTTATCAGGTTTTGCTGTCTTGTACTGAAATTCCTTTTGTCTCACACTCTCCGTCTTTCATGC